GGGTCATCACGATAGGCAAGCCCGACCATCGCGTCAAGGTAGCAGCTTCGTTCGGGACGCTCCCACCGACTGCAGCTCAGATGAAATGAAAGATGAATTTTACAGAAAGCTATCTGAACTTTCTCAGAAAGCTAAACGTTCAGATATAGTACTCGTAGCAGGTGACTTTAATGCCCAGATAGGTAGTTTAAACCAAACAGAAAGGCATTTAGGTGGGTATTTTAGTATACCGGCACAGGGAACAGATAATGGTGATCGTCTGCTGCAACTGTGCTCAGACAATCGTTTGTTTTTAGCAAACACAAATTTTAAGCATAAGGAGAGACATCGATTAACATGGCGACCCCCTACACCAAACCAACGATGGACTCAAATAAACCATATTGCCATCAGTCGTCGTTGGAGAGGGTCGGCACAAGATTGTCGCTCATTCTGGAGTACCTGCTTGGACTCCGACCATGCCCTAATACGGGCACGCATCTGCTTGTACCTCACTGGACGCAAAAAGAGCCACAGTAAAAAGACCCATTAGAACCGAACTGAGTAGCGAGGAAACCAAAAGTAGGTTCCAGGAACAACTGAGGTCACGATTAGGTAGTTGTGAAGACGAGGCTGACCCAGATGTTGCTTGGAAGAGCATACAATCAGCTGTGGAAACAGCAGTGACATCTATTAGTGACTTAAACCACAGAGTTGCAAGGAACCAGTGGATTTCTTCAAAGTCTATCACACTGATGGATTCTCGCAAACTCGTCCCATCAGGTTCTGAACATGATGAAGAGTGACAACAAATCAGATATAGGTTAAGAAAAAGTCTAAGAAACGACCGTGAGCAGCGATGGGCAACGAAAGCAAAAGAGATGGAAAAGGCGGCAACTATAGGGAACACAAGACAGCTTTACAGACTAATAAAAGAAACTGGAATTAATAAGTCAAGTGTAAGTGAGATTATTTCGGAAAAAGACGATACACTAATCTGCTCCGAGTCCAGACGTTTAGAACGATGGGCGGAACATTTTAGGGAACAGTTCAGCTGGCCTTCAGCTACTCTACAACTACCCTCTATTCCCAGACAGTGTGAATGGAACATTGAAGTAGGTCCCCCAACTCCAGCAGAAGTTCAAAAGGCTATAGTTAATCTGAAGCGAGGAAGGGCAACTGGTCCAGATGGATTGGCCCCAGAAGTCTTTAAGGATGGTGGTCCAATTTTAGCGATTAGGTTGACTAATATTTTAGCTAAGACCTGGGAGTTAGACGTTATCCCATCTAACTGGTCGCAATATATAAGAAAGGGTCAAAATCATCCTGTGACAAACACGGAGGGATTAGTTTAACTAGTATAATATCTAAAATACTAGCCTCGATAATTATCAGACGCCTAACTAAGACTCGTGAACTTCAAACACGAGAGAACCAAGCTGACTTCAGACCTGGTCGTGGCTGCATCGACCACATATTCACCATTCGTCAGGTTCTAGAACATAGGCATACTTATCGACGTCCGACAATGGTGGTCTTTCTTGACTTAAAAGCAGCATTTGACTCGGTAGACCGCGAGATTCTGTGGCAGTGTCTGTCATTGAAAGGCGTACCTCAGAAGTACATAAACTTTGTAAAGGCTCTTTACTCGAACACTACTAGTCGAGTCAGAGCTTATGGCGAACTGTCATCTACTTTTGCAACCTCAAGTAGTGTCCTTCAAGGCTGTCCACTTTCTCCATTTTTGTTTAACTTCATCATAGACCTACTGATGGAAATAACATTCTCGTCAACTGAATTCTCGGGTATTGATCTCCTACCAGGAGGTCCACTCATCGACTTAGAATACGCAGATGACATAGTCCTGTTTGGTGAAGACGCTGACAAAATGCGAAGTCTTTTGGTAACACTAAGCAACAATGCCAGAATGTTTGGGATGCGCTTCTCTCCCTCTAAATGCAAGTTGTTGCTTCAGGACTGGCCTGCGTTAACACCTGAACTAAGGATAGGGAGTGAAGTAGTCGAACGTGTTGACAACTTCACTTATTTTGGAAGTCTGATCAGTCCTAATGGGCTGGTATCGGACGAAATCTCAGCACGGATTCGAAAAGCTCCTTTGGCTTTTGCCAGCTTACGTCACCTATGGCGAAGGCGAGATATCCGTCTATCAATAAAAGGGCGAGTATACTGCGCGGCAGTTTGTTCTGTTTTAATTTACAGCAGCGAAACATGGTCATTAAGAGTAGAAGACACTCGTAAGCTATTAGTATTTGACCACAGATACCTTAGAAATATTGCTGGCGTCTGGTGGGATCACCGGGTAAGTAATAGTGAGGTTAGACGCAGGGTATTAGGGAATGATGGTAAATCAGTTGATGAGGTTGTTAATCTTCATCGACTGAGATGGTTGGGCCACGTGTTACGTATGCCTGAACACCGATTACCACGTCGTGCAATGCTAACGGGTGTTAGAGATGGTTGGAAGAGAATTAAAGGCGGCTAAACCAAAACGTGGCATCAGTGCTTGAAGACACTAACCTCTAATCTGAGCCATGTTGGTAGATGCAGACTACTTGGTTGGGGTCCGCGTGACTTTCGTAACCAATGGTTGGAGATTCTTGGTGACATGGCTCATTATCGATCACAATGGCGTCGGTGTATACACTCCTTGTCTTCCCTTAATCTAAGAGATTAAAATCACTTTATATCTTTCTTTCCACTAACTAATTCTTTCTTCCTGTACTGTATCCTTATATGCAATCTTTCTTTTATATATTACCACCTCTGAATTAACCACTTATATGAATCCGGTGTTCATCTTGTTCTGTTAATGAAGTATGTCAACTTGGACCGATGCATATATGTGCCTGGTCATACGTTGTAGGTGACTGACTGGTTACGAAGCTTCTTAATTAACCATAGATCATCACATTCATAACCCCGTCCCCTCTTTTTTATTTTCAGGTCGAGATTTTTGTACCGAGAAGGAAAGCTAAACGTTTTTAAATAATCATATTTAATCTTCACGACCTGTTGCGTGGCGAACGACTTTTCGACCCACAGTATTCGGATGACATTATCTTACTGTGCAATGATACCATAGCAATGCAATTCGCACTTAATCAGCTGGCAGTCAGTGTCCGTAGGTATGGCATGTGCTTTGCACTTTCTAAGTGCGAAGTACTTTTACAAATCTGGCAGGACTTTGGACCTTCACTCACTCGTGGTAGTAAGCAGATATAAGTGATCGAGAAGTTCGTGTATCTGGGTAGCTGTGTAAGTGTTGGTAGTGGGGTGAGCAATGTGATCGATTCACGTATAGTGAAAGCCAGAGCGGCTTATACGAATGTGGACCACCTTTGGCGGTGGGTCTACAACGCGTCGGTGAGAGCAGTTTTTCCCTATGCTTATAAAATCTGGCTTTTCCGAGTTGAGGATTTTAAGCGACTCTCTGTTTAGTCATCATTGTCTGCAATGGATTGCTGGCATTTAGTGGTAATACCGTATTAGAAATGCACAGTTTCGGCATCGTGTGTTCTGTCACAGCGATGATAATTCAACTAGTATTGCAATCTTGAAGCAGCAACTTCGCTGGCTTGGACATGTGCTACGAATATCGTTTCAGCGACTTCCATATCGTACATTATTTACCGATGCTGCGACTGCTTGGGAAAAGCAGAGAGGTGGCCAGTACATGACATAGTGTCGTAGTACGTAAGCAACTTGACAGGACTGGGTTGCGTTGGGCCTTCACAACTCTCTGGTTGTGGTCCTAGTTAGAGATGATGCAACACATTGACCAGTGGCAGTCCTGCTGTAATTTTTCTTTACGTTCTTCATAACAGTGAGATCGGATTATATTTTTCTTAAATGAATTGCTTTCCCCATTATGACTACTATTATTTTACTCTTATAAATGAATTCCTATTCATTGTTTTTTTACTGTACTTACTTTCCTTTCTATATCTCTTCACAGTTTCACTTTTATTGTGTGGCACATATGTGTTTCGACTCCCCCTTGTATCAATGTTTATTTGTTCAAATAAATAAGTATTGATCGGCATTTACAACAGTGCTTGGGTTACAGATTCGGATGTTTCCCATGGGTTTTGATTTCAGGAAATGGGGAGTATCACCAAACCTCCTCACACATTAAAAATGTGATTCAAGGTCGACTAAATGAGTCTGTACTTTGTTACTAAGTTACATTAATCTTTATCAATTCAGTCAGCTATATGCAATCTGTCATATGTGCACCGGTTCAATTTGTCACTTCAAATTAGCACAGTAAGATTGCTGAAGCATTAGCAAGTTTCGTTTCTAGTTTCATAAGCACCTATACTTTCTCCAAAACTTAAATTATCTCTTAACATCATGTTCCAAGGTATTGTTTGTTAATGATTGCTAAAGCTGTACTTGTACTTCAGTCTAACGTGACCCAATTTCACTACAGTGGTGTTCCAAAATTTACACTTATGGCTAATCACTAAGTCGAATGAGTTGATATATCAAAAGGAGATTTCTTGAAATAGAGGAGGGTTAACAGTGCTGACCAACAATCAATAACTTTTGAAGCATTATATTAGGTTGCTTAGTAACTTTATAGAAAAGTGGTGTTCTCCGTAAAACACAATCTTAATTCACAGAATTATCGATTGTTTCTTAGCTGTATTAAAATGTGAAGACTTCTTACTTGTGACTTCCCCAAAAGAATTACAGTGTATAGTTTGAGACCTTGCTTGACATATCTCAAGATCGGCTGTTTTGGCACAAATACATTTTGATTCTTTATTTGGCCTCTAAATTTATGCTAATGTACATTCCTGTCAGATATTAATGTATATATGTTTATGTTTGTCTAATTAACAACATAAGTTTGATGGATTTATTGTGTACAATCTGTTCTAAGGCATTCTGTATTTAATTTTCCCAACTTCTTGTTGTAATCAATTCATATAGCTATTTTTTTCTACTAAATCATAATATAAACTGTTGTTTATATTTCTCTATCCTCTCTATAGATCAAGTTCCATCATTACAATCTATTTCAAGACTGACTATTTTTTCTTTATTACGCTCTGCTAAATTGTCACCAGTTAAAGAACTTTATTTACCAAATATTTTAAAAGATTATCTTTCATTTCGTCATTTTCATTTTGTAACTGAGTAACTAATACCGAACAAATCGATCCGACCTACCCCATCTATCTATCTATCTATCCCTGTGACAATGACAATCATACTGTTAACATCGTTTGTGTTGATGTCATGTTTTACTTTGCTTGTTTTTTTTGTTGTTGCTTCATTTTATAACTTGTTAATTTGTTATATTTTGACTGAATTGTGAGGTGTTTTATAATGAGTCTTTCATGTTATCTCTTCCTAAGCAATAATATTTCCAGTAGTAGTTTCAGTTATTATCATCATTATTATTATTTTCGTTTTATGTGCGATTCATTTGATTAATTTTGTTTCATTCTTCCATTGTATTTGGCTAAGAGACAAAAAGAGTTTTGGTTTTATACTCTACACCGTGTAAATGTTACTTACGGTTCTAGTTGTACATGGGTGTGTGTGTTTGTATGTGATAGTAGTAAGTATTGATGTTGCTCATTTCTCTTTTCATCATTCATGACAATTTTGTTTTCTCTAAATGATTATTTTGATTTATTCGAAGTGATTTCTTTCTGTTTTATTGTTGTCGTTCTTGTTGTTGTTGTTGTTGTTGTTGCTTTTTCTATTGTGTGTATGTGTGTATGTGTTGGGTTCAAAGAAGAGTTGATTATTTTCATACTTCATTATATTGATTTAATTTAATTTGTTAGTTTGTGCTTATGTATGAGTTGATACGACTTTTGATATCCATATTAAATTTGTTGTCATTAACTTTTGAAGTAATAAAAAAGTTGGTGGTAAGATTCTTATTTATTTATATTTATTTTAACACATAGATATTGGTACAAAGAAGCACCAAATACATATGCGCCACACAAATCTCATTCGATATGTGTGAGGGCTGTGATACTGTAAGGGTGCCCAAACCGAAGCAGGTGGTGTTTTTAGGGGGCCACACCCCGAGCCTTCGACCTGAAGGTCTGATCCACAAGGCAGTGGAGCATCGTAAGGAGATGCAGTCCAATGGAAGCCGGTGACCAACAATTACTTCATACGCCATTTGTTTCTTTAGGATACTGGAGCCCATGTGCACCATTGATTTGAAATCCGGTTAAAGCGCCGGACATTCCTCTCATTTTCGTAAACAACACTTCCGCCACGAGAAGGCAATGAGTAGTACTTCCCTGGCAGAGGCTATATACACGTGGCCATGTGAGAGCATTTGGAGAGGGAGAGTGGACTCTCCGCACTCTCGGCCGTACCTGGGCATTTGGGGGCGATGGTAAGATTCACTTGAATATATCAAATAATGTTCTTTATTTACTACATATGAATTTCGGGCACCACAAAGATATATATATCATACAAATAGAGAGATGATATTGTGAAGAACTAAGAGATGGATGTATAAGAGTACAATCAAAGAAGTAAGTAAACAAAAATGGTGTATGATATAAGATACAGTTCATTTAGATGAGCGTCTTTCACTTAAGGGAGTTCTCATTTATAATGAAAATGTAAAATATAACCACATTAAGATTAATACTGTGTCTTTTTTAGCCTATGTCATTTTACATCTCCACCAATTAACCGATTTATTTACACTGACTTTAAGCAGACAGTCTTCATTTACTAACATGGCTCAAACCAACAGTCAGTTACCAAGTGGACTCGTACAGTGTTTTGCTTACGCCACACTTGAAACTTTTTATTTCAACATAAATTTTGTGGCGTTGTACGATTTTCATTAAATGATGGTGAAATTGTTTTCTGGTTAAACGGTTCATTCATGAAGACCTCATTGTGTTTCTAGTCATCAAAAGAATCTTCATGTAGAAGTGACAGTTATCATAATTCCTCCACAACTGACTAACAGTTTATTTTATCAACATTGAATTCGATTAACTGCTGTCGAACTTGATTATCTCCTACCTTGACTTGGTTCATGGCGTTTTAATCGTTTATGGTTTTTCTAATTGGTTGATAATCTAAGTGTGACTCGGATGTCTATCAAATGTTGATTGACTTGAATGATAAGCTTTTCAAAAATCTCTGGTCAATTTTGTCACTCTTCAAATGTCCATTGTTTTCTAGCTCAATACAATCTCAAGCTTTTCGTTATGTTAACGTCTACAAAAGGCTATGAAAGCTTTACGATTAAATCATCCAGCTCAAAGCATGGAACTCCACCAAAATCATCCACTTGAACTACACCATTTTACTAAACATCATGCCATATGAGTTGGTCGGATTATTTTTATAGACACCATTTGATTAATGTGACCTACATGAAAGAAATTCACACCTGGATTTGGACCGGAAAAAATCGATTCAAACTTCTAATTTACGACTTGTTTTACTACCCAACTTAACATCGGCAGTAGTAAATTCCAAACCACAATTTATACTACTAGTAAGTAGCTCAAATATTCCTAAACAATTTTTATCCAGAATTCACCTGGAATGATCACTTCTCAAAGTAATCAGTAAACCGTTAATTCAATCAATCTTAAATAGTAAGTGTTAATTTGGTATGTTGGTCAAACGTTTTGCTTGAAATTCAAAAATATTCGAACTTCAGAATTTTACAGCCTAGATACTACAATGTATATGACTTTATTTGGATAGATGATGTATTAGCGTTTGAAGCAATAGGTTTCTAGGTTCAAGTCTCAAATATAAACATCAACGTTAGGATACAGGTACATCCAACTAAAGAGTTCAGAATAGAATGTAACACACTATGGATTTGAATATTAACTGCTACTGCTCATTCATGAACTAGTTATGAACTTTTCAAAAAAACAATCGTTCGCTCTTATATTCTTTGTCCTTAAATAGTTTGACTGAAATACTGATAGTGTTAATTGATGATGATTATTTTAGAGAACTATAAACTGTGGTTATGTAAGTATTGAAATTTCTGAAAATTCCATCTTTAAATAAACGTATGGTATCAAATGAAGTGATTACTGCTACCATCCTTATCGTTATTATTTGTATCTTGAACGATCTGTTCAAATTACATTAATCAGGTTAATTATGCTTTTTTTCCTTGAAAAAACAATAGTAGTTTTACTTATATATTGGATGAGATGACTTCTGATTTTTTTCAAATACATAATAGATTTTTGATTGTTTAATAAATGTAACATACAGTGTGGGAACTTTTTGGGTGATAATTGTAACCAGTGGAGCTAATCCGTGTCGGGTAGAAACAGGCGTCTACCTCAGTAAAATGGAAGGTGGTCGCGCAACTTCGTGGATTAGTTGATGTTAGACATTAACACCATTGGATGCCGGCTCAGTGGTCAAGTAGGTTAAGCGTTCACGCGCGAGACTGAAGGCCCCGCGTTCGAATTCCGCAAGCGGGATCGTAGATGCGCACTGTCATGAAGTCCGACAATAGGACGAAACGACCATCCAGTGCTTCCAGGTTTTCAGTGGTGTTCTAACATCAGTCGGTTCATGATCTCAATCAAGAAGATAATTATTTTGTTTGTCATGTAATATAAATCCTATGAATTTTTTTTTGAGTCTTAATGCATTACCGACTTGATATTAGGTAGTTGGAGGCAGTCGATTAGAAGCTCCATACTAAACCTTACTTTTGTTTAGCACATAGTCTTACGGATCATTCGCGGCTGGAGTAGCTCTGTTGTAATATCTTTAACTGTGAAATCAGATGGTGCAGATTAAATTTTTACAGAGATTATCTTTTAAGTACATCTTATATTGATTAAAAATCAATATAATTGGTTCTGATTATTGTAATCCATTCCGGATAGGCTTTGAAGTACTTGACAGGTATTGATTCTAAATTTGGTCATATTGGTAATACTTACTTATTGATTAGATTTATAACAGTAAAAATAACACAAATAACTAAATCATCCATTTTATATCCTTTACTACTTGCTTTGTAGTATAATTAAACAGCTCTTTTCTATGTTAAGTAAGCGCTATTGACTAAAAAATAACCCTTTTTATTCAATGTAATCAATTGACTAGACAATACGATACAATCCAAATGTTTGTGTTAAAAGTCAATGAACATCACCTTAATACATTTCTAATCTTACACAGAATATACCCACTGAGTCGTAAACTAAGAAAGATTAGTTCAGGGAAAAGTTCACTTTTCGACGAATTCATTTTCAAAGCAGTTTAATCTCAATTATATACTTATTTTTTCCATAAATTTTCCCTTCTATATTCTCTACAGATCCTTTACTTACTTACGCCTGTTACTACTCGTGGAGGAGCATAGGTCGCCCACCAACACTCTCCATCCAACCCTGTCATGGCCAACTTTTTCCAGTTGTTATTCATCCTTTTCATATCTCCTTCTATTTCCCGACGTAATTTGTTCTTTTGCCTTCCTCTTTTCCACTTCTCTTCAAGATTCCAAGTCAGGATTTCCTCGTGAGGCAGTTTGGCAAGACCCTTTACACACAACTATTTTGTTTCAGCTTCTATAATCCCTCTGATTACAGTTTATTACAATTTCAACATTTTATCACTTTCAGATTTCGTTTATCAATTATAATTTCTTTATTTGTCATCATGATGAATATTCAAGTTCTCAAACAACAAAATTATTATTAGTTTCTTTAGTAAAAGTAACGTTTTAGTGATCGAGAACGCAAATAGGGATCATCAAATGTATTTGAACATAAAACTACAGAATATCTTAGTAAAATCTGAGAACCATACAGTAAATACTTCATTTACAAAAGGTTCGTTAATTGTCTCAGACTTGATTGTTCCTGCATTTTTATATCAATTGCTTTCTGTTCCTGTTCTTTCCTCCTCGATCTTTTCGACCTTCTGCTTGCAGACATTCTATTCCTGACTAGCGTTTTATACTACTTATGATGATATAAGTGGCAGACATCAACGTTTTCACTGCTTTCGTTCGTTCTATCTCACTGTTACCATGTTTAAGAGAATTTTATTATCACCACTATTGTAATTATTAAACTTTGAACAACCTAGTTGTATCTCTATTTAGTCATTGTTAGGTTGGCTAGAATGTATTACTAATTAAGTTATCATGGAAGTCCAGTGCTTCAATCACTATGCTTGGGTTATCCTTAACACCTCTAATATTCAATAAATGTGTTATATCCAATAGTTTCAGTTATTTTTGCACTTGTTGAAAGATTAAGACATGTGTTACGTATGTCCAACGTGCAATATTTTATGCTGTTGGAGTAAGTTTTAAGGAAGCTAAGGGCGATCACACCAAAATATGGCACAAATCCTTGAAGTCATTGACAAATGGACTAAGCCATGTTGGTAGGTGTGAACTACTTTGTTGGGATCCGCGAGACGATAGCAATCGATGATTAGAGACCTTGAATGACATGACTCGAAATCGTTTGCTATGGTGCAGGTGCATCCACTCTTTGTGTTCTCCCAAATTCGAATCTTCTGAATTCTTCATGTCCCTTTGTTTTCTCTTTCCAAATTTATTTTACTGAATTATGCTCTTTGAATAACATCTTCAAATCCTAATGTTTCCGATTAGTGCTTATTCGTTTACTACCTCTACCATCATGGGATTAGAATCGACAATTGTGTCTATGTGCTAATGTGGTATGGTAGCTTGAACTGATGTCCGTATGTACGAAGTTCTACGTTGTTACTGACTGACTGACTGACTTGTTTAAAGATAAGAAGTTGAATATTTTTTTGTATGATATTCACCAGTGATTGAATATCGAGTTATAACTTCCGTTACATTCGTCTTTTCCATCAAGCATGTTAAGGTACATAATATTAATGTACTTAGATTTGAAGGTT